AACTAACTATTTCTGAGATATTCCATTTGTAACAACTGTACAGCGTAACAACCGCACCTAGTCTCACCTACACTATAATAAAAAATCCAATTATGCCACTTACGAGCCTTCCAGAATTCTTTTTAGGACAGAGGGCGAGTTAGTCTACCTACTTGATGAGGACTTTTAATATTATTCAAAATGGCATCAATGTCTTTTGTTGCTTTACGAGATAATAAACCTTTTCTTTTTGTTTGTTTCCAAACCACATTTTGGCAATCTGTTTGGCGATAACACTGCTAATGTTCATTCTATCTGGAACACATCTGTAAATTAAATTCAACTTTTTTAATTTCAGTAAAGGTGATTTTGATTTTGCACCTTTGATTGGATTGTTCTTTGAAGCTTTTTTTTGAATATTTTACAGTATTTAATACATTTCGACTTTTTGGAATATTATACAATAATTGATATTTAAGAGACGCATGATTATTCCCGAAATCTTGTTTGACATAATAGTCATTTGACATAAAACCATTTACCATAAATTTCATTTGACAAAAAATCTGTTTGGTATAAAAAACATTTAATTTGAAATTTATTTGACATACATTTCAGTAAAAATACAATTTATATTGCATAAATGGCATTTAATATGATATACATTTGATATATATATATTTCATTAGACATAAAATTTATATAACATATATGTCATTTGACATAGAATTAATTCAACATATATTTTATTTGATATAAAAACCATTTAGCATAATTTCCATTTAACGTAGAAATACAATTGACTTGAATTTTATGTCACATAAAATCACTTGACATATATTTCAATTGACGTAAGTTTTATTTGACAGAAAATTAATTTGAGGTAAAATTTGTTTAACATATACGTCATTTGACATAATATATCTACATTTTATAAATTTTATTTTGTCCTAAAATTCATTTGTCATTTTCATTTGACATAAATTTCACTTGTAATAAATTTTATTTGATATAAATGTCATTTAATGTAATTCTCATTTAACATAAATTTCATTTTCATAAAGTTCATTTGACATAAAAGTCATTTAACATAATTCTCGTTTGTCATGAAAGTCATTTGACATAAATTAGATTTGACATAAAAGCTATTCAACAAAATTTTCATTTGACATAAAAATCATTTTACACAAATTACGTTTTACATAAAAATATCGGCGCGAATTTTAAAAGTAACTAATTAGATATTATCAACAACATTGTGATTGCCAACTTTGAAATTCGCGCCTATATTTTCATGTCAAATAATCTTTATGTAAAATGAAATCTATGACAACTGAATTTTATGTCAAATGAGAATTATGTGTAATGACTTATCCGTCAAATGAAATTTATATCAAGTGAACTTTGTGTCAAATGAGAATTATGTGTAATGACTTATCCGTCAAATGAAATTTATATCAAGTGAACTTTGTGTCAAATGAGAATTATGTTAAATGGAATTTTTACCAAATGAAATTTATGTCAAGTAAATTTAATGTCAAATGATAATTATGTTAAATGGCATATATGCTAAATGAAATTTATATAAATTTAATTTTACGTTAAATAATAATTATGTTAAATGATATTCACGTCAAGCTAATTTTATGTCTAATGATATTTATGTCAAATGGATTTTCTGTCAAATGAGAATTACGTTAATAGTATATTAAGCAACAAGAGGAGAAAGACAGCCATTTCTTTACGGTGATTTTTGTGACACGAGTGGAGGTCGAGGGCGCCGTAGGCGCCCCGAGACCGGAACGAGTGTCACAAAAATCATTGTAAAGAAATTGGCTGCCTTTATTCTCGTGTTACTTACGATATTTTTTATTCCTAATGCACAAAAGCGGCGATTTCAGATAGCAGACGACAGGGAGTAAAAGTCATTCACTTGTTCGATTTGTATGAAAATGGCGGCCGATTTCTCCCTTGGGCAAGAAAAATGCATGTGAACAGCTAACTTTCTTGCCCTTGGGAGAACACGGCCGCCATTTTCATACGGTCGAAGAAATGAATGACTTTCCTCCCTGTCGGCTGCTATCAGAAAGCGCCGTTTTTATGCATGTGGGATAAAAATGACATTTATGCCAAATAAAACTGTTTATTGGTTTATACACCTATCTTCAGCCTTACATACTTGGCTATACAAGTGTCTCTTTACAAATTTCGCTCTTACAATATTTCTATAATTATTTCTTATACTTAATTTTGCGCCTACACAATGACTTAAAAATTAGGAGTACTCGCATTTGCCTGGACCACCCGTCTAATGGGTTTTCTCGCCAGTGGAGAGGGAAACTGTAGAAAACCTCTCCTGAGTACAGGTTTATCGACAGTCGAGTTTCGAATGGTGATTTTTATGTCAATAGAAATTTATGTTACATAATTTTTATGTCAAATGGAAATTAGGTTATCTGAGTTTTATGTAACATGTAACATTCGCCGCTAGGTGGCTACTTTGTGCATACGCTTATACGTTACGTGTCTATAATATTCATTATTCCTATTGTATTAAGTTATTCTTTTTAATAAAAGAACGAGGATTGTATATATTCGGAGTGCCTTTTTGGTTTTCGGTTTGTGTTTTAGACTTTTTTGCTGTTTTTTTTGCACATAAATTGTCGGCGTCTAGCCGCTGTGTCATTCTAACCTCAATTTATTTGCTGAACTTTGTGAGCATTTATTATATCTAGTGAGGTTTGTTTTTCCGAGAAAGTCTTATATTAATTAACATTTAGTTTATTTGTGCAATTTTTATTAAAATGGATCCTGTTAAGTGTGCAAAGTGCGGCAAGGATATCACACGTGTTGTTCCAACTCATTGTGTTAAATGCGACCTGCCTTACCACCTCAGCTGTACAGTACAGTTGCCTACCTTACCTGATGGTTCTTTTGCGAGGTGCTGTAAGCCCAGATCAACATCTCCATCTGCGAGTTCATTGAACTCTCAATCTACGTCTGACTTAGATGTTGTGATGACTGCCTTAAATGCTATGAGGGATAGCATAAATGCTTTGAGAGTCGGCATGGAGGAGAATTTTTATGATGTGAACAACAAATTAGATGATGCTCTGGGAAGACTTGGAAATATTGAAGGTAGGGTGACTAGTTTGTCGAATCGTTTAGAGGTTGTGGAAGGGAGACTTGACAGGTGTGAGACTAATCTTCCCGAAAACATTGGTCGCAAACTTGGTACTGATGTTTGTAAGGAAATTAGTGATAGATTTGAAAGAAAGAAGAATCTCGTTCTGTTTGGTTTTCCAGAAAATATCACTGGCAACACTGATAACACTAACAATACATCCTCTGACAATTTAAAAACATTAGTAGCTAACAAACTAAAAGAATGCACTAAAATTTCAAATATAGACAGTTGTGGGATATTTAGACTTGGTTCAAATGCGCAGGTCTCTCACAAGCCTCGACCTGTGAAGATAGTCTGTGTGACGGAGGAGAAAGCGCAGGAGATACTAAGAGCTTTCGTAACAGCAAAACGAGATCCAACTCAGTCCTTGAAGTTGAGAAATTTGTCTATGACGCGAGACATGACAGTCAGGCAGAGAGAGGAAATTCGGGACGTACAGGAGCAGCTGGCAGTGCGACGACAGGAGGGAGAAACCAACATAACGATGGTATATCGTTGTGGAGTTCCCACCATCATCAAAATTTCCCCAAGAAAACGCACGGCAACCTTAACTTTGCAGGTGGGGGCTAGCCCATCTGTGATTCAGAAGTGACTCCTCCCCATTATGTGTTGAGTGGTATCCCTTCCTCTCAATCGTTTTCTTTCATTCAAGCGAACTATCAGAATGTTAGAGGTTTACGCACAAAAACTCACGAGCTTCGACAAAGTGTTTCAATTTTTAAATATAATATATACATTTTAACTGAGACTTGGCTAAATGATAGTGTACGTTCTCAGGAATTAGGCTTTATTAATTATGATATTTTTCGGTTTGATAGAAATAGTGTTACTAGTGATAAACTGAGAGGGGGGGGGGGGTGTTTTGATAGCTGTCTGTAGAAATTTACGAAGCTCTCAAATTGAAACTTCATTAAATACTGTTGAGCATGTTTTTGTTAAATTTAGAGCTAATAACAATTTTTATATTATTGGGTGTTTTTACATTCCTCCTAATTCGTCTCTTAAAGCTTTTTCTGATGTTTGCAACATTATTGAAGAAGTCCACGATAATTATACTAATGCTATTTTTTTAATCCTTGGGGATTTTAATTTACCATTTTTAACACAATTTTTTAGTCACTTAGTTTCACAAATTGATTTAAATAAATGTTTAACAAATAATCAGATACAAATTGCTTCCTTATTGCTTGATACAATAGACTTCGTTGGTTTATCGCAAATAAATAAAAATATTAATACACATGGCTCTATCTTGGACTTAGTTTTTTGTAATAGTGATTTTTTCACATCTGAATTGTTAAATGACAGTATACTGCCATTGGATAATTATCATCCTTCATTACTCATTAACTTTCTTTCTAACAGTCGAAATATTTATAATTCCGACTATTTGCAGAATTTTAATATGGTATTTGATTTTAAAAATGCTAATATTGCTGGTATAGTTACCCTATTGAATTCTATTGATTGGAATTTATTGTTATCTAATGAGAATGTTAATGATGATGTTGCTGTTTTTTATGATCTTTTGTATAGTATTTTTGAGAAATGCGTGCCATTGAAATATGCCAATTCATCGAAATTCCCACCCTGGTTCACTAATGAATTAAAACATCTTGTTTATTCTAAAAAAACCGCTCATGTAAATTACATTAAAAATAAAACTGAATTCAATTATACACAATTTTGTAAATTAGGAAGTGAGTGTAAAAAACTCTCAAAGGTTTGTTATAATGATTACATTTCTAATACTGAAAAGTCAATATTGACTTATCCGAAGCATTTCTGGAATTATATAAATTCTACTCGACGAGAACACAATATTCCGACGCATATGTTTTATAAGGATGAATCTGGTGACACTTCTCTTGAAATCTCTAATCTTTTTGCTAAACATTTTAAAGCTGTTTATACTCTACCGTCATTAGAAGTCCCAGACTTGTCCTTTAATCGCTATGCAGATGTGAGTCTAAATTTTATAACAATTTCTAGGAACGATATCTTTGAAAAAATAAAGAATTTGGATATAAATAAAGGTTCAGGGGCGGATACAGTACCTCCCTCTATTATAAAATTATGTGGTTACTCATTTATTGAACCACTATTTATTATTTTTAATAAATCATTAAAATCATGCATTTTTCCTTTTGAGTGGAAAAAGGGTGTGATAGTTCCTGTTCATAAGTCTGACGATAAAAATAATTCTCAAAATTATAGACCTATAACAATATTAAGTTCATTTGCTAAAATCTTTGAAAGTATTATTTTTGATAACTTTTATGCATCGGTCTCAGGAATTATAATCGATGAACAGCATGGATTTGTAAGGGGAAGATCCACACTAACTAATCTTGGTATTTTTACTACTTTTTTAACTAGTAATATTGAAAAGGGTCTTCAAATAGACACTATTTATGCTGATGTGTCGAAGGCATTTGATAAGGTAGACCATAATATACTATTAAGCAAATTAAATTCACTAGGCATTTCTGACAACATGGTTTCATTTTTTAAAAGTTATCTGTCTGACAGATATCAAGTTGTAAAAGTTGATGGCGAATATAGTGAACCTTTTTTAGCGACCTCTGGGGTGTCTCAGGGATCGCGTCTTGGTCCTTTAATGTTTATTTTGTATATGAATGATGTAAAACCTGTTTTAAGGCATTCCTACTTTTGCTCTATGCAGATGACCTTAAGTGTTACAAAATAATTAATTCACTTTCAGCAGAAAAAGACACTTCAGATCTGCAAAAGGATCTGAAGAGATTACAAAAATGGTGTGGTAAAAATCATCTAAGTATTAATATTAAGAAAAGTTATGTTGTTTCATTTTCTAAAGGTAAAGTTAGCTCACATAACTATACTTTAGAGGGTCAGAACTTGGAGAGAGTAACTAGGATGCGTGATTTGGGTGTATTGTTCACTAGTAATCTTAGTTTCAATGATCACGTCACTGAAATTGTTTCAAGAACCTCGAAATCCTTAGGGTTTATAATGAGATGTGCTTCTGTATTTCGTGGTCTTGCAACAATTAGAATATTATACTTGACGCTTGTCAGATCAATAATTGAATACGCATGTATAATCTGGTCTCCTTTTTATGTCTTCCACATAATCAGAATTGAACGTGTTCAAAATAAATTCCTTAGATTTGCTGCAAGAATACTTAATATTTCATTTGATTATCGTACGCATGATTATGAAAATTTAAGAACTTTAATGAATATTCCTCTTTTGACATCTAGATTTCATTTTTCTGATATGTCTTTTTTGTACAGACTGATGAACGGAGCTATCTATTGTCCCTCACTTTTATCCTTGGTAAATTTATCTGTTCCTAGAATGTTTACTAGACGTTATACGTTATTCTCAGTGGCATTTCATAGAACGAACTATGGTAATAATTCATTAATTGATCGACTCACTAGAGAAGCTAATTTAATTTCTAATGAAATAAACTTCTTTGATAATAATGTTACAAGGTTCACAACGGCATTGCGTAACATAATGTTTAATAGAAACTGAGATTATTTAATTTGCACATAAAAAGTTTCAACCTAGATTTAAGTTAAAAATTCATTGTTATATTAGATTTAGGAGTACTTATGTACGAAAGGGCATGTCCCGTTATGTTTCTTAAATAAATAAATAATATTTCTGTTAAATGAATTCTATGACAAATGATATTTATGTTAAATTATTTTTGTGTGCAATAAAATTTATGTCAAATAATGTTCATATATTATGTGAATTTTAAGTTAAGTAGTTTTATATCAAATAACTATTTGGTCAAAAAAGATTTCGGGAATAAGCATGCGTCTCGATATTTACCCGTGCAGAAAATGCCCCACTTTGCCCTATTTAAAACAGGGTTCTGGTCAGGGCCTGGACAGTTTTCCCTATTAATTTTTTTTTTTAATAAAGTTTTTAGAATTCCTTTTTGTTGTAGAAGCTATTATCAATGAAAGGCAATCATTATTTTAGTTATTTAATAATTTTTTTATTTTAGGGGTTTGACTAGAATTCCTAGCCAGAACCCCAGGTAGGGTGTTCATTAGATTTTAGATAGGGTACTGATCAGGGTCTCGACAGTTTTCCTTGTTTAAATAAAGTGTAAAAAAATTAAATCTCTAAAATTACTTTCAATAAAAAATAATGAACAATTGAAGAATACAATTAAAGAGAGTAATTATACTATCGTTTTAATAAGTTTTTTATTTTGTGGGTTTGACCAGAATTTCTGGCCAAAACCCCAAGTGAGGTGTTCACTAGATATTAAATAGGGCTCTGATCAGGGCCTCGACAGTTTTCCTCGTTTGAATAAAGTGTAAATGAATTAAGTTTTTTAAATTAGTCCCTATAATAAAATTATAAACAATTGAAGAAATTAATTAAACGGAGTAATTATACTACATTTTTAAGAATTTTTTTATCTTATGGGTTTGACCAGAAATTCTGGCCAAAACCCTAAGTGGGGTGTTCACAAGATATGAAATATGGCTCTGATCAGGGCCTCGACAGTTTTCCTCGTTTTAAAAGCATGTAAATAAATTTAATTTTTTAAAATTAACTTTTTTAATACAGTTATTTAAGTTAAAAAAGCGTGTTCTTTTAAAATACTTTATAAAATAATTATGGTAATATATTTAAAAAACGAAAATACATATAATTTTTTTTCCTTTAAGTACAATATTATAATAAAGTCTATTTATTAATAATAACAACTAAATTATAAATAACGAATAATAATAGTTATTAAATAATTAATTATTATACATTTATTTAAAAATAAAAATTATGAATTTAAAAAATAATAATAAATAAACAATTATTAATAAATTATACTTCATGAATTTTAATAATTGTTAATTTATAGGATGAATTTATCATTTGGTTTGTATATATATATATATTAATAATAATAATTATTTTATATTATATTAGCTTAAAGTGAGAAAATGATTCGGAGAGATTGTTAAATTTAACACCTTCAATATTTAATAACTATTTTTTAAACATAATTAATAAATTTGAATAAAATATTTATTAAATAAATATTAATTATTACTTATACATTTGAAATAAAAAATTATAACCTTTATTAATATTATAAAATTAAGGAGGCAGAAAGGAGCGACAACCTCCAAAAGAAAAATGAATTAATCATAAAACCAAAAATTATATTTTTCAAAAATTTTTAAGTTTTTCTATTCTAGAAATTATATTATTTTTATCATTTTCACTTTTAAATTAGTCAAAATGACTATAATACCTCATTATGTTATGTATAAATATGTTGTGTTCATTATGTTTCTAATATAATAATATTTTTAATTACAGTAATTTTATTGTAATTTCTTTTGAATAAAATTAACCTCACAAAATAGGGCAATTTTAAGAAAAACTGACGAGGCCCTGACCAGTTTTTCCCTAAGTAGGGCATTTGTCGGGAACAGCGTCACACACTAGTCGGGCACTGGTCAGTTTCTCTACCCAGAGCCACACCAGAGATCGGGAAAACTGTCCAGTACCCTATCAGGCCCACATTTTAATTTCTGCACGGGTAATACAGCCGCCAGAATCTGGTTTGAAAAAATTGCGAACCCATTTTCCTTTATGTAAGCATATGGGACAACCGTAATGTAAGGTACACTGTACACCCTGATGCTTTAATGCCTTCCTTCCGGTTGAGTTCTGCGCATCAAAAATAAATGGAAAAACGATGCGCGGAAGGAAGGCATTAAAGCATCAGGATGTACAAATCCTTGGACAGGCGCTCGAAAGGTTTAAGAAAGATATTTATTTTGGGTTTATCCTTTTCAACCCAAATTCTTGCTAAAATGTTTTTTTTGTCCTAACACTGTAAGGTAACTCGTTAATCATTAAGTAAATCGAACAAATAGACGTTTTTGAGCTTTCGAACAAAGGTGCTCCATCAGTATTAAACGATACTGTTGCATAATAATTGTATCCATCATTTTCATTTAGTGCGTTAACAAAATCTATATAAAATTCCCCATCATCGCGGAAAAAGACCCAAATTAGTGAATAGACATTTCAGATATTAGAAAAATGTATGTCATGTTCTAAGCCATTCTGGGGACGAGTTATTTTAGCTGAAGACGCCGTAGGTGGCTGTACTCAGCTTTGAGTGTGTTATTACTATGCGTTGCTTATTCCCCTTTAGAGTCGTTTTTATATAATACATACTCGAAAATTATTTAAATATTTTATAAAGTTGATTTTGGTTATTAACAATTTATAGGGGAGTATATAGTCGAGGTTGGACCACTGTCTAGGTAGGCCATTCGCGATTTTTTAGACAAGTTCACTAGCGCCACCTACGCGCATGCTTGTCGAAGCTTGTCTTAGTAAAACCTAACTTTTTGTTCAATTACATTTTCGGAAAATCGAAAATAGTGTTTTCTATGACGTCGGTACAAAAAAAGCTCAAAAAAAGTTTTGTGCATTATGTGAAAAACCATTAATAAAAGATAAAAAAATTGAATCGTCAAGGCAAGCATGCCAAAGTTTTGTGGGACTCATGACAGTTGAAAGAAAAACAAAGTGAAAAATCGAATCCCGAAACGTATTTCTTTATGGTTAGAACAATTCGGTAATGTTACTTTCTGTCAAGGTTGGCCACTTTGTACTTAAAATGCGCAAAGATGAGGACGAACTACTTTATTTGCAAATACTGCGATTTTAAATAATTCATAATATAATTGATAATCTTATTATTATTTTTATTTAATTTTATTAATATTTCAGTGCAACATTTTTATTTTATTTATATTTATTTATATTGTTTATTTTCATTATTTTATTATTTCATTATATTACAAGCTATAAACAATAAAGGATCAAATTCCCGTAACTCTAAACATGTTATTTTATTTTTAAACGGTAATGCCCTTTGAATTTTAAACATGGACCGACCTTGTCTGTAAGGGCCAACCTGCA